CGTTAAAGCCAGCGGCATACGATGCTTTTTTTTCTTTGCTAGTTTGCTAGCTGAATTCGCGTGCTTGTTGTACTCTTGTCTTCGATTGGTATATTTTTTTAGATCCAAAAGAATATACCAAGAGCTTGTCAGAGACAAAAGCTCAACGAGCACGCAAATCCAGCTAGCAAATCAGCAGAAAAAAAAAGCATCGTGTGCCGCTGGCTTAAGATTTCACCCACAGCGCCCGCAAGGTAGTGGAACGGTCATTGCGAGCGATAAATGGAACGCACTTAACTCCTACGGCTTCAGAAATATATTGGCAGGAGCGGATTGTACATCGCTTATTGGCCAGTTAAATATAAAATTTTTTGATTGGTAATCCAATGGAAAATTCCTAAATGCGGTCGATATGGAACGTATCCAATCGCAACATGTCAGAAACGAATTTCTATTTAAAGCCAGCAGCACATGATGCTTTTTTTTCTGCTGATTTGCTAGCTGGATTTGAGTGCTCGTTGAGCTCTTGTCTTTGATTGGTATATTCTTTTGGATCTAAAAAACTTAGATAAGATCAAAATATTGAGCTAATTGTAATATAATTAAAATATTCGTAATTAGGAGAATGCCTACAACCTTATAGAGTGATATCCGAAATCTCGGATTGATTTCTAGTATATGTCTAGCATATTTCTATTTTTTTCTTTTATATTTTTAACTCTCTAGCATATTTGATTTGCTGATTCCAAATCTAGTCAAATATGAGAGAAAAAGAAATAGACAGAAAAATAAAAATGTATAAAATAAAAAGAGACAGAGCTGAATTGAATCGGATAACATCTGATTGCCCATATTGCCAATTGGCTAATTTAAAATAAAATTTTTTTATTGATTGATCCAATGAAAAATTTGCAAGCATCGGTCGTTGTAAGTGGCTGTGTTCAATTATAAGGTCTGTTCTTTTCAGCTGAACTGGTTGCACGGCACTAGTTCACAGTTTATCTTTTTTCTTTCAGTATAAGAAGTGCCGTCAGTTCAGCCAAAAAAAAAACAGAACTTATAGTTGAACTAGATGCTCCCTTTCTTCGCCTAAAATATCGCTGTCTCTTTTTTCTCGTTGCCGTATCTGTCTCGCTTTCTCTCTACACTCTGTTCTATCTACGTTTATGCTTCATGCCGATCCACGCCATTTTTATTTATATGTGGGGGTAACGAAGTGACCCGTGCGATGGATTTGTAATAGCTGAAAATTGGTCACAGAGATGTTTCGTCTTGCAATATGTGCGTGATGCGAATCATCGGTGCATGCAACGTTCGGCATTATCGCAACCCTTCGGCGTGAGGGCTTTTCATGCAAACGCTGAATCGTGGTGATCACTGTGAACACTGCAACGTTCCTCCCAGCACTTTTCCTGATATAAAATGGACCATCGCCAAAAGGTAAGCCGCACCAACAAACCAATTCAAATATTCAACAAACGCATCAAGGAGAATGAGTATATATATTTTTTGCTTCTCGACGAAACTTTAATTAGAAGGATCTCGACCTCGAAGATTCTTGAACTTTATCATAAAATAGAAATTTATTCGATAGCGAGAATTATAGCGATTATTTGCGTATTTTCCGATGATAGTCCGTCCGCGCGCTTCTCATGCAGGAACTGCAATTGCCAATACTGTGCAACTCAATATTACTTTGTATTAATATGATAGTATAAAATGAAGACGAGAAAAATCTGTGCTAAGTGACTGGAACAGGTTGAAGGCATTTTATTTATAATAGAAAGAAAAGTATTATCTTTGCTCTGTTGCAAAATGTCAAGTGTTTTTCATCAATTATTTTATTTTATCAGATGATTATAATTCCTCAACAATCAAAAGTCAAAGTTGAGGATGATGATGATGAAGATGTGGAAGCGCTAAGATTAGCAGCATTGAAATCATTACGAACGAAAGATGCTACACATAAGAGATCGACGCTGTCGCAGGTGCAAAAAATACTACCACAAGTGACACAATCATCCCGTTTCCCATACAAAAGTCAACGGCCTACGAAAAAAAATTATTATCACAACAGAGTGCAACAAAGGCAAAATGGCGTAAGTTTTCAACTTATTTTATTTATAGGTCTGTTCTTTGTTGCTGTATTAAAAATTTTTTATCTTGTTTTTATTAAATTTTAAATATATATTCTATTTTAAATACAAGTATATATAATTCAGCTACAAAAACAGATCTTATATCTACAATTGCTATGATCATTATAATAGCAATTTTATAGGCAAGCATTAAAAACTATTTTATTTTGAAAATTTATATGGTAAATTGTTACTTTGACATCTTTGGTTTATATATTTATATTTTATATTTACAGAACGTATATTACCAGAGCCCTCGTAATCCAAACCTGATAGCTATAGTTCCTGTAGATGAACCTTCCCCACTTCAACAGGCTCAATTAGCTTGTCCTGTAGAAAAGACTGAGCCACATATATCTTACCCTCAAGGTAAGTTTATTATATTTTTATAAAGAATAAAAATATATAAGAGTAATAATCATGATTTTTTTTATTATACAAATTAAATAATTATGTAATTATATCTGATTTCAGAAATATCAAAATTTCATCGTTTTAAAGATAACGGAAGTGCTTCTGAAGATGAAGAAACAAAGGAGCAAAAAAGTACTATGACTTCTGTAAAGACAGAAACTTTAGCAAAAGAAGAATCAATTGAATCTTCGGCAGAGATAGAAAATCAAGAAAAAGTTGCGAAAAGTCCACAAAAGAATGGTGATAACCAAGAGGAAGATGGTAACGATGATGATGATGACATACTTTTAATGGCTGACCTCGAAGAAGAAGATAGTTTAGAACGCTTAATGGATGAAATGGAAAGGGAAATGAATGATGAAAGTAAACTGTCTGAAAAGAAAGAGAAAAGATTACATAAGGGTGAAGTTAGAGATACCGTAAAAAGTGAGGAAGGAAGTAAAAATCTAGACCAAAAAGCGAAATCAGATGACAGCTACAGTAAGGAGAGAAACGATGTTACTTCATCTTTGGCTACAATTGTCAAAAACGATAGAAGATCAATCTCTCCACATGTAATGAACCGAATTAATCAAAAACGCAGATCATTGTCTCCAAAATCGCGTTTACGGAAAAAATCACCAAGAAGATCTCCTAGAAGATCTCCAATCAGACAACTGAAAAAATCTCCGAGAGAAACATCAACAAGATATAGATCACCTCGAAGATCTCCTTCGTCACGATATTCCCCTAGATCTAGATCGCCCAAATTTTCACCACGCAGATCTCCAAACAGAATATCTACGAAAAGATCACCGCTTAGAAAATTATCGCCGAGAGGCAGATCACCCAAGCTTTCATCGCGTTCCAAGTCACCTCGACCACATAGGTCAAGATCACCAAGATCACATAGATCAAGATCAAAGTCTCCAAGGTTACGTTCACCCAAAATATCACGATCTAGAACACCACGATTGTCAAGATCAAGATCGCCAAGATATTCACCACCTCTTAGATCACCCAGATCCAAATCACCTAGATTATCTCCGAAAAGAATGTCACCACGTCGATTACGATCTAGATCTAGGTCTCCCGGTTTATCTTCTCGAAGAGGATCGTCTCACTTGCGTTCCCCGAAAGTATCACCACATAGAATATCACCTCGCTTGAGATCACCGCGACTTTCGCCGCACAGATCGCCGTGGTCGTCCCCGAGACATTCACCTCGTCTTTCACCACGACGTAGACGATCTCCGAAATGGTCACCTAAAGAATTACCTAGAAAACACGGTCCACGTTCTAACACTCCAAATAATAGAGATAGATTAGTATCGTCTCCAATTTTCAAACGTACAGCGACGCCAGAAATACTCAGGGTGAAGACAAAACAGAAAGATGAAGCATATGAAAAATCAACGACAACAGAAACGGTAAAGGAATCTGTCGATGCAATTAGTGATCCTGTTCTAGAGGCAAGAAAAAAGAAATTTGAGTCTATACGGCCTATTGATCCTATAAATGCCAATAAGAAAATTAAATTATCCAAGAAACATACCACAAGTACAAAAGTGGAATCTTCAGAAGAAACGGAGATGCAATTAGGTAGTGCAAGGAAAGCGAACAAAATTGTGGAAGAATACGATGTTCAAGAAATGGATGTATGTTTGGAAGTAGATTACGAGTTTGAAGAATGTAAAGGAGCAATGGAAAATACATCACCAAGCGCTTTTACCAATTCTGTAAATATAAATGTAGAACCACAAAAAATAGAAAAAGAGAAGTCTTTAAAGAAAAAGAAGAAGCGCGATAAAGAGTTATATCAAGTGGGAAAATTGAAAAGCGAACTGCCGCTTTCTGAACGTATTGGAAAGGACAAAAAATATAAAAAGCGCAAAGATATAGTCTCTGAACAGGACATGGATACTATATATGAAGATGTGACCATAGATGAAGAAGGAGATTTACGAACGGAACTTAGCAGAAGACGTGCAGAAAGATTAAACAGAACAGTACCGATTCAATCTGCTAGATTGGTGCAGTCAGCTTTTAAAGGCGTTGTTAATGAGTATGTAACAATTTGTTATTATATAATATTCTTATTTCTTCTCGTTTATTAGTATTACTTATTTTCCGTTTTTTTGCAGAGCTGTGAAAAATAACGCAAAAGCCAATCAGAGACATGTCATTAATACTGATGAAAAATGTAAGTATTAACAAATATTAACTTAGCATTAATATTTTATTTTTTAATTAACATTTTTTTCATGTCTAAATTCTAATAATGAATGCTTTTTTTCTAGCTAATCAAAAGGAAATTAGGCGGGTTACTGTGTTACATAGATCATCATTAAATGAATTACATGATTCTGAAGGTATTATATTTTTTAAGATATTAAATATCGTAATTTTTTATAAGATATTAGCAATATCATAAATTAAGATGACTGTAGCTCACTAAAATACTTTATTCATTTGAAGAAAAAATGTATTAGTATTAGAATTATTGAAATTACTTGTATGCGATG